TGAAAGGGCATGCTCAAGCTTTCATTTTCATAGACTAGCTCCCAACTCAGGAAACATGAACCAAGACCTAATTCAAGCATAATAAGGTGCTCCCCATACACTGTTTTTCCTCCTTCCCTCCAAAGTCCTTTTGGAAATTTCTTTTGAAGATCCAGAGACTAATTACAGCACTCTCCTGGTTCAACAATACCTAGATTTCTTTGCCAAATAGTCTAAACTAAGAAAGGGGAGAAAATTTGTATCCTGCCCTCCCAATTTTCTCCTTTTTTATAGTTTACACTATTTAAAGATGAAATCTAGGGATTACTGTGTGCACAGGGTAAGGGGAGTAAAAAGACAGCAGAGGAACAGATAAGCGATAATGATAATGCTAGAGCCAGAAGAAGCAAGATGGTCACATAGTACACTAATTGGTAGAAGCAGACCGGAATCAAGTCCTTTTGAACAAAACATAATTGAAAAACATTCTAGAAATAAAGGCATTTAGACACTTAAAATCTGATGATGAATCTTTCAGCATTTCAATTAAGGAAACCCCAAAGACTATACAAGTTTGCACACTGAGAGATTACACAAGGTCACAGAGCTAGCCAGTACTGTTTGTACTACTCCATAAAATTCCCTCTTCCTGTACAAGTTGTACTTTCCAAATAATGGAAGTTATGATTGGTTGAGTCATTTCTACTCAATAGAATATTTGAGTCCCTGGAAATATTTCAGTATAATTTCTAAAAGTATTATTGCATCTACTCTATGAAAATTATATTCAGATCATAGTATTATTTTTTTTTACAAATTCAAGGGAGAAAATTTAAAATAATGTCTTTATTAATTTTTTGAGAATTTCATACAATGTATTTTGATCATATTCACAAACCCATCCCAAAGATTTTTTTCTGTATGTTGGCCTGGTTAAATGAAAGCAATCAAGTTGGCAAAGGGAGGAAAAGCAAAAGAAAACATTTTATTACATTTCTTCAAATAATGTTAAATATCAGGTTAATTTTTTAGAATGGCTTGGTATTAATGTAAGCATTTATTAATTAGTAGTATCTGTCTACCTTTTCAGGTGTGACAATGTCTGCCAAATACCTCTCATTTCACAATTCTACCTCTACAAATTGAGCTTGCTGTAATTACATAACACTTGTAACATTGGTCTTTCCATGTGCATAAGAACTGTAGGAGACTAGGTATAGTAGAGCACACCTGTACTCCCAATACACTGGAAGGAAGAGCCATGAAGATGTAGACTTTTTGTAGAGAGGGGAAGAAGGAATAAAATGGGAAAGGAGAGAGAGGGGAGAGCATGTGTAAGGAGAGGGATGAGGGATAGGAAAGGAGAGAAGGAGGACTGAAGATAAGAGGGGAGGAGAAGAGAAAGAAAAAGAGCAGAGGGGAAAGGAGAGGGAAATGTGGAGATAAGATTCAAGGACAGAGCAGGCAGTGGAGGAGGGAAGAACAAATGGGAAAGGAGAGATGCAGAAGGAACTAAACACAGAAAGGAGGGTAGAGAAGAATGGGAGTGGTAGAGTGGGGAGAATAGACTAGGAAAGGTTTGAAGAGGGCAGGGAAAGGAAGAGAAAGGGTAAAGAAGCAGGAGGAAGAACAGAAAACAGGGATGAGAGAAGAAAAGGGAGGCAAATGGAGACTCATGGGAGAAAAGGGTAAACAGGTAAGAGGAGAAGAAGGGAGGGATGTACAGTGAGAAATGGATGGAAAGGGAAGGGAGGTGGGGGGAGAAAGAAAGAGGGAGAGAAACAGAAGAGAAAGGGGAGGGAGAGTAGAGGAAAGGAGAGTATGGGAAAGAGAGGACAGAGGAAGAAAGGAGGGAGGAAAAGAGGGAGTGGAGACAGGACAGGAAGAAAGGGGAAGGAGAAAAAGGAAGAGGGAAGAAAAGGACTGAAAGAGAGGAAAGACGAGGGAAGGGGAGAACAGAAAGAAGACAGGGTAGAGGGGAGAAGAGAGGAGGGGAGTAGAAAGAGAAGAGGGGGGAGGGAGAAGAGATAAGAAGGAAGGAGAGAAACACTAACAGACTTTAATAAAACTCCAGTTTTTAAAATAATTATGCATGACAGAATACTAAGGCAACCATATACCTCTTCCTCTGTGAGAGGTCTGAAATGGCACTATTGTTTTTCCTGAATTTTGAGAAGAGGAAATCAGACAATTTCAGTAAGGGCTCAACTGGAGAGCCACAGTTTGTGGCATCTTATAGTTTTATAGTTTTACATTGTGTGTCTCTTTCCTTTTTGGAAAACCTACCTAGTACAAGCCACCACATGCATGTGGGTTGGTTCTCCACAGCCCTTGACATAGTACCGAGTCCAGCCATTACCATTCTTCTGCGTTACTTTGTCATGGGATATTTTTTTTGTGCATTTGGCTGCAGTATTGGTGGTAGAATATACTTTGATGGATCATCTCTACTTCTGTATTTATTTATTTATTACTAGACCTCAACCACAGTCTTCTCCCCTCCAATCTCTGCCTGTGGGATGTACTGTATGTAGTCATGCACTTTGTATTAATATATTAAAAATCTACAGATCTGTTTTCTACCTTTTATACTGTTGGATACTTATAATCAAAACTTTTACTCTAGGGTATTGAATAAATTTAGTCTTATTAGAAAATAAAAAAGGAAGGAGAGAAGGAAAGAAGAGTATATTTGAGAAGAAAGAAATAGAGAAGGGGAGGGCACTTGAAAGAAGAGAAGGGATAAGAGGAGGAGGGAGGAGGAAGGAGAGAGTCAGCACCAAATCTGTATGTGTTTTCAATAAGATATTTACACAATAAATAATGTCAAATCTTATCTATTAATGGCTGCAACTTCAATCCTCCTGAAACTGTATCTGAACTTTTAGGTCCAACTCTATGCCATGGCTCCTATGCCAGAGTGTTTCCAACACCCCAAATGGTTACTTTGAGTTTTATCAGTAGCATGTACAAGAGTTTATGTACTTTAGGAATGTTTTATGCTTTTATTATTTAAAATATAATTCTTTGAAGAAGATATAACTCACAAATTACAAACTTAATGTCAACTTTGTAGATTTAGTTATAAAACATGCTATCTTACAATAATTCATCAAAAGCTTTGACTATGATCTGATATAGGAACCTAAACTTCAATTTTCAAAATATATGAAAACCTTATTTTTTATGAAAAGCAATTATTAAACCATTTTAGCATGAGCTGATTCTGCTACACAAAATTTGTAAATAGATTGAAATTGATAAACTTTAGTTATTTCATGTAAAAGATCCAGTGAACATATACATTAGAAAGCTAGTCAACATTCAATCATGTTTGTTATTTGTTTTAGTATTTTGAGACAGTATCCCAGGTTAGCAGTAAACTCAATATGTAGCTCAGGTCAGCCTTGAACTAGAGTTGATCATCCTGCCTCAGCTTCCCAAATGCTGAGATTACTAAAGTGTGCCACCATACCTGGCTGCATTTACTCTTGTGCAGAACCCACATGACACCATTAAGCCATAAGGAAAAATTTACAGTTAACTTTTAATAGGCAATAAAGAAAATCACCCTAAAGTATAAGCACTATCCTCTGCTGACAGGGGTCCTTCAATGGACACTTTCAGGTAAAGTGGGGGCAACATACTACCAGCATCTCCCAACCATACACAGAGTGGCTTCCTGATTAGGTTTTGAAGACCAACAGCCTCAGATGCTCCCTTGTCACCATGCATGAAAATCAGAAACTGGAGACACTATTAAGAGATATACTACCAGTCTTCAAGTGGCAGGTTATCCCATTTCTACTAGTCTACAGCCTTTGGTAAGCATAATCAATGGCAACTGCTGGCTTGGTGAAGTGGACAACATAAGAGCAAATCTCAACCACAGGTGCTGGAGTCTGTTTCTGAACTTGTGCTATGATCTAAGAAGGAAAGGATGTTAATAGTCCTCAACAAGGAGCAGTTATGAAGAAGTGAGATGTTGGCTGAAGCTCTTGAACTATGTGTGAGATTTGCTAACTTCTGAGAGCTGCTCACTGATAACCGAATGTATTCCATGTATGCTTGTGAAATATTCACTCATTCCTATCAGGCAAAAACAACCAAATCAAACCAAATATTCACTCATTCCTATCAGGCAAAAACAACCAAATCAAACCAAAACAAAATTCAAGCAAACGCAAAGAAAATATCAACAGTTTCACTTAGTGTATCTGTTAACAGCTTATTGGAATCAAAACATTAGTTTGTAGATTGAACAAAGATGAAATACCTGAGATTTTTGCTTGTTAATTCATTCAATAACTATTTACTGAGTATCTATTAAGCTCCAAGACAGTGCTAGGAACTAGTCTGTGCCACCAAGAAACCTCTCACTCTTAATCTTAGACTATGCAGGGAATCCAACTTTTAAAATAAATAAAGGTTTCTTACACCAGTAAGGCATGAAAAATGAGGATGTCCCATTTTGTGCTGTAAGTGGTTTAGAATGATAGTATCCACGTAATAATGAATACTCAAATGCAATACTTAAATACAAAAACGTTTGTGAAGTAAAGGACTGTCCATCAAGATGTGATTTCTACACAAAATAGTAACAGAGTAAGCAAATATGTTTCTTTTTGTTTGCCTGCTGCTTGATGGATGGGAGTCTCACCCTGGCCTTGAATTTTGTCTGTAGACAATAGGCTAGCTTCAAACTCTCTTAAAACTGTTGGCATGTCCCAAGCATGCTCTATTATGCCCACTACACATGACAAAACAGAGCTTGATTTTTTTAATTATTCAAAACCTTAGGACAATTTTTCGTGTCAATTACAAAACTATAACCACAAACAAGAGACATAGCTAACATTTTCCTTCTATATTTCAGATTCAATACTAGAGTACCTTTGTCCTTGCCACTCCCAAAGGGTAATTTAACACCAAGCAATCAAAGGCTCATGTAAACTAAAACTACAAAGCTTCTTGGGTATATTATTATAACAGTGATGAATTAAACATTCAATGTTACTTACCTTGTAATCTCTGGACACATTTTCTGATGTCACTGAACCTGAAATCTGACTAGAAATTGTAGCAGCTATAAGCTGTTTACACCATTCAACATGTGACCCTGTAGGACTAAAAGAAATAGTGTGATTAAAAATCTTTAAACCTGGGCTCCTAATGTGAAACAAAGTGTCCTGGTTAAGAATAAATAAATACAGATTTATTTATTTATTTATTTATTTATTTATTTATTTATTTATTTTTATTTTGGGTTTTTCGAGACAGGGTTTCTCTGTATAGCTTTGTGCCTTTCCTGGGACTCACTCTGTAGCCCAGGCTGGCCTCAAACTCACAGAGATTCACCTGGCTCTGCCTCCCGAGTGCTGGGATTAAAGGTGTGTGCCACCACTACCCGGCTCAGATACTTTTTTTTAAAAACAGTGTCTCATGTACAGCCCAAGCTGACTTCAACTCACTATATAGCTGAGGATAGCCTTGAACTCTCCATCCTCCATCCTCTACCTCCCAAGTACTGTGATTATAGATATGTACCACAATGTCTTAAACTATTTGGTTTCTTTTCTACTTAATATAAGAATCAATATAGAGAAAACAGAAAATAAAACAGGTTCTAGGTTAATTTTAGGTGAACCAATCAACCTTTTCTGAAAAGTTTTAAGGTTGTAGGTGTTGGGGCTGGAGAGATAAGTTCTTTGGTTAAGAGCACTGCCATCTTTATAGAGGACCCAGTTTCATATTCCCATTGCCCACATGACAGCTCACAACTTTCTGTAACTCCAGTCCCAAAGGATCCAATGTCCTCTTCTGGCCTTGTGGGCACCAGGCATGCACATGGTGCACAGACACTCATGCAGACAAAACATCTATACACATACAATAAATAATTTTTAAATGATTATACATATTTAGTTAAGTGTGTTACTCTCTAACATATCACAGAATTCTATTCTATCAAAAATATATGGTAGATATAGTGTATATAGAAAATTAACATAATGCATATAGAAAATTAGTTCCAAAGTGAAATATTTACCTTCAAACATATGATTTTCAAACAAAATTCACCCAAATTCAAGTTGGCTGTTTAAAATCTAGAAAATAGTATACTTTTAGTGGGGATAAAGCTGATGATAAGTTAATATAGAACAAACTAGAAAAGGTATTTTGTATAAAGCAATGATGCTACATTACATTTCTGTAAATGCTTTAACTTACAAAAGCTTCTTCCAGTTGTTACGTCAGAGCTTCATAACCAGCTTTGACAAAAAGGCAGAACAGACACCAGCCAACTTGACTAGATAAGGAAATGAATGTGCTGAGGCAACACCATATCCAGGAATGTAGCCATCACTCCAGGACCAGCACAGCTGATAGTCACTGATATCCTGAGCTAAAGGTGGTCCCACAGATGTTGTAAAAAAACTGCCTCAATATGAAAATACAACAGTGCAAAGAAAATAGTACCCTTTGGTGGTCTAAAAGGCAGCCTTACCCAGCCTCCCAGTGACCCATTTTATAGAAAATAAAACTGAGCTTCCAGGTTTGTCCATGGTCACATGACTGGTGAGTGTTTGGCCTGTGCTCAACTGACTTAATAGACTAATAGGCAGACTAGGCAGTAAGAGATTTAAAACTTGCCCTCAGGAACTATACTCCTTTCCAGATCTGTCAAAACAAGAAAAAAACAAACAAAAAAACCAATGACACTTAAGACCTTTACCAGGAAGTAAACTTTCATCAGGGAAAAAAAATCAGCAATTACATCCACACCTGTGTGTTTGAAAGACAGAACATCTATTTAATTGTAGTCTCTGATTAAGGTGGCCCAGTCTTTGTGGTTGAAAATATATGTAAAATATTTGCTGAATAGGTAGAAATTCCTATGATACACTAGGATTTCATGATCCTAGTAGAAGTCAGAACTCTATCACAATTTCTAGGGGACATAAGGAAAAGGGGAGAAATATTATATTCTCTCTCTCTTTTTCTGCACGTGCTGTATGTGGTGTGGTGTGTGTGTGTGTGTGTGTGTGTGTGTGTGTGTGTGTGTGTGTGTGTGTGTGTGTGTG